ATATCGACTTAAATCGTTATTTTTTTCTTATTTTCGACATTTTCAATTAGATCACTCACCAGTAGGTGAGGGACACTTTGTGACCTGAAGGTCCAATCTTCAAATGAGTATAAGTTCTGTTTGAAAAGTAATTTAAAAAAGCTGTTCGACAATTTTGTTTTTAACTCATCAAGTATGTACCTACACAATGAATTTCGTGGAATTCTCTCCATTTTCGTTGTCCGGCCAAGAATTGCAGTGGAATTTTTTTTTGAATTTTCAGAAACTAATTTCAGTTTCGTGATTTTCATGTTCAAAAACACCAATTTTCGTCGAAATCATATCATATCATATTTATTATTTGTCACAAAATACATTCCATATACTTGTATAAGAACAGAACGTACGTAACAATGTGTCACGTGTAAATATAAATATAAATATTTTACATAAATTATAATGTTAAGCTAAAGCACGATACAATGAACAATAAACAATAAAATCATCTTTCGAGATATTCGTTCATGTGGTAATATGACTGCTCCATCAAAAAGTTTTTGAGCGTTACTCTAAATTTCGAAAAGGAAGTAATTTCTTTGATATTGCTCGGTAAGGCATTGAAAATTTGGCACGCTCGGAATAAAAAATTCTTTTGAAAGAGTGTGGTCCTATGTCTACAAGGAATCAGAATTTTTTCCCACCCCCCCATTTAGGAATGCGCCCTTTCGTAGTAAGGCAAGTGTAGCAGTTAAATCCTACAAATGTGCGGGAGGAGAAATTGCCTCCTTGTAAGTCGCAGGAATCGAATAAAGTAAAAGACACATAGAACGCATGGGTAATATTAACAACTCCCTATAAGTTCGGGGGTGGAATCGACCCACTCCCTCCCTGGGGATCGTAAAGTGCGATCAATTGGCATGCGAATTCAATCGCCTCCTTTATATTATATGGGTAAACAACTCCCTGTAAGTTCGGGGTTGGAATCGACCCACTCCCGCCCTGGAGATCGTAAAATGCGATCAATGGGCATGTGAATCCAACCGCCGCCCGCCTTTACGTTATCATCACTTTTCTCCAATTTTCATATAGAACTTTTGTTCTGTCAGTGATGACAGGAATCATTATAGACATTTAGCACTGTCAAAAATGCGGCCGGTAAAGTGACAAGTGGCAGGAAACGTAGTCTGCTCCGTCTCTGTCATGGAAACTAAAATTTTCTGACAGAAAGTAGGCGTGAATATGAAGGCTTCAGGACGATTTTGGGTAAATAAATTCCAGTACAATAGGGGGAATATTCTCTTCGGTTCCAGTACCGGATATCGTGAATTACATAAAAAGAATGTAAAACAAGTAGGTATACATTGTGCACATAGTACTCGTATGTGATGTGCAGAAAAGGTACATTTTTCAGCGGTCGATGTAGTTCGATGCCACTAGTCGAGAGATTTACAACGAGTAGCATTATATGTTCTGACACTTCATTGTCGAAATATTCGCACATGCATTTTTGCCCCATCAACGTTCCATTTTCCCTTTGTGAACTACAGTTCGTTCTTGAAATATTCACGCTCCAAATCCTAGAAAATAATTTAAAATGCGCACATGTTTCGACCAGCATGTCATCATCGGGCGACTATAACGCACTTCTGCTAATGAGTAAAATAAATTTATTGGATTTTGTTCCATGCAGATCCGAAGGCTTTATTTTCGTTGCTTCCACTTGTTATCCTTGTCTTACCACTTTGTACCTGGTGACCAAATTAGGTCGTTAGTAACTCTATAAGTGACAGAATGTACCTCGCAGTGTCGATGTTGAAAACCAAACTGGCCTACAGCCCTTTATTTTTGAGTTATAGGCAAAAGTTGCATTTTTTGATTTTTAGATAAAAACCTATAACTTCTTTGTTTAAGTTATCGGAAATGTGTTTACATGTTGTAAAACGCTTTTTTGAGAAGAATTGAATTGATTTAAATTTTTTAAAAAAATTCATCGGTTATTAATTTTCAGCGTAAAGTTGTGTTTTTAGCGCGATTTAAAAAAAAGTTGCACATATATTCACTGTGACTGTTCGGTCGTTCGGGCAGCCCTTTGAATTTTTTTTCGAAATTGGTTTCTAGTCTATAACTTTTGATTGAGAAGTCTGATCGAAAAAGTACGAATTGATTTGGATTCTACGCAACCAAATTAATAAGAAAAAGTGTTTTCCCGAGAAATTTTGGTGTAGTCGATTTTTGGTAAAAAAGGAAGGTTATACACTGCTTTTTTTTGAGCCCCGAAAAAAAAATTGTCTCAGATCGACCCGGAAAAAAAATTTTCTTATAGAATGTGGCCTGTAGAATCCATAATTTTAAACAGTTCCAAGATTGGGCTACTAGTTCAAAAGTTACAGCCCTTTGAATTTTTTTTCGAAATTGGTTTCTAGTCTATAACTTTGGATTGAGAAGTCTGATCGAAAAAGTACGAATTGATTTGGATTCTACGCACCCAAATTAATAAGAAAAAGTGTTTTCCCGAGAAATTTTGGTGTAGTCGATTTTTGATATAAAAGGAAGGTTATACACTGCCTTTTTTTGAGCCCCGAAAAAAAGATTGTCTCAGATCGACCCAGAATCCACACGAGATGCGTCGCCTATCTTGAATGTTTAGCGCATTTTTTAAGAATAAAAAAATGTGGTATTGTTTGCGTTTTGTCCGTCCGTTTGTCCGTCCGTCCGTCCGTCCGTCAGGACCCACTTCTGCCGTTTCGAACTACTTCTAGGGGAATGGTCCTAGAGTCCTGGAGTTTTTTGAAGTAGGTAGCCTATACCTTGAAGGTGTGCCAGACGGCCATAAAATTTCGCTGTCTAAAAGGCCCATCCTCCCCCCACGAATTATTTCCTGAGATGCTGTTTTTGAAAATAAAACGTGCATAAATTTTACATACGACAACCATTTGGTCTCAGATTTTGCATACGCATGCCTTTAGTGGTGCCAAGTTAAACTTTAGAAAATGGGGGGAGGGACACATGTTCTACCCTTTATCGCATTCTAATGAATGGGGGAAAATGGGGGGGGGGGGTTAAAAATTAATTTTATCTCTCATTGTATTCTAATTAAAGGTCTCAACAAACCGTTTTCTACCAACTAATGCCCTTCTTTCTGCCCTCTTATCAAAGTACGGGTGGAGGTGAGGGGGCGGGGGAGTGGAACTAGTTTTATCCTTCATGGTACTCTAATGAAAGGTCTCATCGAAAGGAATTAATTTCTACGAACCATAGCCCTCTTCCTCGGCCTCTTATCGTGATCCCTTATACCTCAAGAGCGGATTGTCGGAAGAGAGTACTCACAAAGGGCGATCGAGACGTCTGCAAGAAATATATCCATTGGTGATGTCAAAACAATTTATCTTCACAAGATTTGGTCACAATTTATACTTGTTTTTAACCACAAGGGTCATGTAACACATCACTAGAAAGTGTCTTGCTTTCTGTACCTATTTGGAAAATGTCGAAAAAAAATTAATTTTTTTTGTCTAATCCAATCTTAAGACATAAGGCTCTTCTACTGGAATGGTTCGAGATATTGATTCGCCGTTTGGAAGACTCATATTTCAGAATGAAAAATAAATTTAAATGACCTATGTTGTCATTACAAAAAATTCAAGATTACGCCCACGAAATTTGGGTACCTAATGAAGAAATTTCTTTTTCATTCCCAAACATGCATAACATGGGAGATATTAGTTTTGAAGGAATCTAAGAAGTATATTACCAGCAGTGTGCATCAGTGTACCAAAAAGTCAATCAAAAGTAACTATGACTAAACGACTAGGGGACGGTAGCTATTTTTTTGCTCCTTAAGGGGGCGGTACTTTAGAAAAGTTTGGGAATCTATGCCCTACACCCCTCTCCGAACGGTTCTAACCTCGCAATTACCCGGGACCGTCGTAATCGCCGAAACACTGTAGGTACGCTTGTCTAAATACGCTCGCCTTACACAAACTCGCGTGCACCTTTCCTCTGAGGCGGTACATATTGTAAGTTTTCCTACACTTAAGTGAAGTACGAATTAAAACTGCTAAGCGAGCTACTGTTAGAAACACAGTGCTGGATCACTCTACAGAGGTTCCGCAACTATTCATTAACTGAACTATTTTAAGGACTTATCAGGCCCTTAAAAACTATTTATGATATATTCAATTCCAGCCTTTTCCTAGTAGTGGTACACATTGCAGTCTTTTAGTACAATTTTTCAAAAGTTAGAATCGCATACAAGAACCATGAAAATAATAAGTTTCCGGTTCGGCATTTCTTCAGAAAGGTATACATTTCAGAATAATGTTGGAAACCGTCTAAAATACATATATGTACCAATCTCATTTCTGATTAATTTCCCCTTTATTGGTTACGTTAAAAGTCACAAATTGTAAGACCGATTTTCTGAGGTTTTCTCCTACGAAAGAAAATGTACGATTGAAATAAAAAAACTATGAAAAAAACAGTTTTCGACGCTTATATAGGAATGGTGGACTAATCGGAGAAGGCAATAACTTTTTAAGAAAAATGTTGTTGTTGCCTGAAAATGTAATCTCTGAAATCGGATGAAAAAATTTAGATTTATAAAATACGCGTCGGATTATTTTTGTGGAATTTTGGTAAAAATCAAGATTGTGTTAGCAAAAAACAAGCTAACGTTGAACTTTAAAGTTACGACAGGTAAGTTTTGTTACGTAATATGAGCGGGTTTCCGATTCCTATGTCCGTAATTGATAAATGATGTTATTTAGTTTCCCTCTTGAATGTATAACACGTGGTGCGCGCGCACGGGGTGTGAACAACGTGGACCCTTAGAAATGGATTCACAACTGTCAGTCGCACCTTAGTGGTTATAGCGCGAGTTTCGAAATGACTACGTCCCATGTGCGTTCTGCACATTCCGTTACGTTTCAATGATACCGGTATTCACAGGTACATAAAATTTATTGCCTTTTAATTACTTTACACACTTTTGAGCAAGTTGCAGTCAAATTTCATATTTCCAGTTTCAGTTTTTTCCAAATATGGAAAACTCTGCTTACGTACCAAGCTCAGCGCACATGAATTCTCCAGCATTGGTGGTGTTTTCGCAAGCCGCCGGCGGATTGCAAGATGCACTGCGAATTCAAAGGCCCTTCAATCCACAGGTGATAATTATGTATTTCACTTATGTATAATCTAAGACGTAAGTTGTTGACATTGTAAATTTAGCCAACAACTTAAAAAGCGCGCATTTTTGGCACTCGCGTCAATAATTCAGGTAATGATAACAATCGAAATAGTTTCAGATGGCCGAAGCGACAAAGGACTTACACAGACCATTTACAGCGACAAGTTTTGGACTTCGTCATATGGAAGCGTATGGGGGGATTCCCGCTCATATCTTAAACCATCTTCAGCCTCAGTTTTTACATCCGGGTTTATCATTAGGTTCGGGCGCGTTTCGTCCACTCGCGGATTTAAAATCATTTCCATCGCCGTCCGCTTTTGCACCGCCGAAGTGTTTAAAAATCGAAACTAATAGTGATTCGCTTCAAGTTCCGGCGGGACATGGAATTTTTTCACCCTCTGAGGAGCGCTTTCTGGGCCCAAGTCCGAGAACGGACTCCTGTTCGCCAGCAAGCGCTTCTATGTCACCGCAACCCCCGACAAACATAGGAAATGTCAAAGAAGAAAGTCTCGACGCTCATATGTCCGAAGATGGGGACGTTGCTCATGGTCCGTCGACTGACAACGATTCACCCGGAATTCAAGATGACAACAGAGGATTTCGCAGTAAGAGGTTTTTTATATGTAGCACTAACGTGACGGTTAAATCGAATTTCGTTTAATGTAAAAGAACTAAATTTATTTTGGTTTTTTTAAGACAGTGGGCACCAAGTTTTATTTATGTGTTTTAAAGCTCTAAAAAAGACGACTTCCAACTGCTTAGTTCGTAAACCAAATAAACAGTTTATGTTAACAATTGTTCTTCCGTCAAAGTAGCTTGCAACCACCTGGACTATGAATTAACCGTTGAAATAACTCAAGCTTGTGTCGTGTTTTCTACATATATTTAGATCCGCGTATGAATATACACAGTTTGAATTTGATCTTAATAATCGCAAAAGCCACTCGGTAGTTCTCATTTTCATTTGATGCCTACATTACAAATGAACATTTCCGAATTCGATTACAGAAAATAACAAAATTGTGCATTTCCAATTTAAAAGGGCGGTTACCATCCTATGTCTTCTACCCGGCGGAAGGTATACCTACAAAGTACAAATGTAACGTTTGCGCTACTGTTCTGGATGACATTTATATATCAATGACTTCCAAAATTCACGCTAATAATTGTAACCGCTCGTACCCCACTCTAAAAGTGGTTTCGGTTTTAATAAACTTTTCTTTCAAAACCTCTGCCTTTAGCTCTGATCTTGTTGGTATTGTGTTACCGAATTCGTATGAATTGTAAACTGCAGATTTATGTGAAAATTCTGCCCTTTTCATGAGAAAGTGCGTATGAGATTTCGAATTTTTTCAACACAAAAGTGTATAAAACATATTGCGGGGGTTAAAATGGCTCTGTTGAAAGTTTAATTTTTGTAGTAGGAGGTACAACAAAGATTGTGTAAGTGTAAATTTGACAAGAAGTAGTCTCTCTTGATCTCAATGCATTTATTCAGCTTTATTGTTCATAAATCAAAAAACCGCTCCAATTTTCTACATATAATATTAAAACACTGCCAAATCAGATGAATGAGTAAAATAATCTTCAGTAACGAGAAACGTGTGTAACGTAACTATTTAAAAAACGACATTTATTTGTGTACCAAATTGAAATGACTGCGTTTTTCTTCTAATTTAACGATTGAAGTCAATTTGTATTTCATTGTTATTGCAATTCGTTATACCACCAATAATATACATATCTAGATAATGTACTCCTTGACTGAGACCAACGATGAATCTCTATCCTTCCCAGTTTTGCATATTCTCTTCATTTATTGTTAAAAACAATAGACCATGTATAATAATAATAATAATAATAATAATTTATTGTCCAAACAGACTATCTAGTCTAAATACAGGACAAACTTAAATATTGTTCAATAAAAGTCGCACAGAAATATAGAAAAATTAACAAAAATGTAACAAAAATAATAATGATAGATTTATAACTAAAGCGAAAGAAAATTGTTAACAGAGCCAAGGACTAATTATGTAAACAAGTTTATCATGGTAGATCATAATAAACCGGCATTTCGAACACCTAAAATAAATATCTTTCTTTTCTTATATAGGATAAAGGATGAACAACGAAAAATGTATTTTTTTATAAAATTGGTAGCTAAGATTTAAAATTCTGTTGCAATGATTAAAAATATAAGATATAGGTACCGATGAAATAACTTTTTATCTTTTCAAAAATTAATAACAATTGTACCTACATTTAACGTATTACTCATTTTTATTTATGAACGACCCATTTTTTGTGGCCGTTTCTTTGTCCTGAATTCAGTTGTAAAAATAAAAATTTGTTGATCCTGTATTTTTTGAGAGGCAGATACAGAATACTCCTCCAAGTTGATATCAATTCATTTTAAAAAAAGAAGTAGTAGTAAAAAATTTACCGCTTTCCGTGGCTACATAGTATTGGAAATTAGAAAAAATTCGCTAAGTTGATGTGAAGTTTGTGGGACTCCATCAAAAGGTATTCTCAAACGGAAAATATAAATAGTTGAAATTTTTTAAAAGCACGAGAATTTTATATCTACCACTTATCGTATTACCGGGAAAACCAAAAATTTCGCGCATGTTTTGATAGATACAAATTTTGATTTTCGTGATGTCTCGCTAACTTCACTTGATATGAGCAAAACAGTGACACTTTTCTTTTAAATAAAGTTGTCAGTGTCGCTCAATAGTCATCGTATCCAGCTTAGGAAATTAGCTAAAAAGGGGAATTGGAACATTTTTTGTGTAGTTAAAATGGACAAGTGCAATCGAATTTTGAGAATGTGAAAATCGTTTTCTAATATTCTCAAGGATAAAAAAGGACATCAAATTTAGAAAAATACGCAGACTGTATTTATATCGGTATCGTTTCTGTTATATAACATACCACGACGTTTCTTATGTTTCGCTAATAAGTGAAAAAATGCCTGTGTGTCATTTGTTATCTATTGGGCGCAACCCTGGGCCCAACTTTATGGAAAGCAAAGAGCATGTGTATCTTTTGCTTTTGGTCGCATTTCTCGAAATATCTAATTTTCACGAAGACTTACTCTGAGGAAACTGATAATTTTAGACGGGAAATATACACACACATGTAATCTATTCATATTTGATTTGATCTAACTAAGGTACGTTTTTGGTGGTTTGAAGGCATTGTGTTATAAAACAGAGTTCATATGCAGCGCTACTTGCGATATCATACGTGAAGTACATAGTTTTGTACGTACCCGCCGTCAAAGAGAAGTATTATTACAGCCTCATTAGGGTTAAATAGAAATAATCAAATTTCTTTTCTTTTAGTATTGATATAATTTATGCGGCATCGTTATGCAACGTTCACCGCTTTAACGAGGAATAAGTGGGGGCTGTATTAGTGCATTAGCACTTAGCAGTGTTTCGTTTTTCTGCCCAATTTCTTTGTGAAAATAGAAATTTGTGTTATTTCTTTGATAACCGAATTGCGATATTGTGCTTTCCGCTTGTGTGGTGGTCATGCGTTCGTCCAAAAAATCAAAACGGTGCCACATTTTTACATAAGAACAAATTTGCGGAAAAAATCCTTCCAATTACTGGTATACTCGTATCCCGCCTAGGGGTTTAGCTGAAAATTAGGCTACTGTTTGACACTTTCCTAAACAAATTTCTTGAAGCATCCTGTTAGAATGAAAAAGGTTTTAGAAATAAGAAATTATTTCCAATGTACCTATAATAGGATACCCATTTAGTGCACTTTTCGTTTTGCGAATATGTGACTTTATGATTTACAAATCAACAGCATTCATAAACATTAGCTATTTAAATAGTAATTATCTAATCCATATCATTAGGAACGCCGTAACAATGTGCAGGATAATGCCAGGTAGTTTCATTTGTTTTCCCTTACAAGTAATGAGTTATCGCCTCATTTTTTTCTGAAGATCTCGTAACATATTTTGTAAAACATATGCATTTATTATAATAGATGGAAAAGATATCTTTAAGTACCGACGTAAGAAATACTGTTGCATTTCCAAATTGGTGCTATACATGTTTCTACTCTCATTACAACGGCTGTTATTTACGAAAAACGAATTTTCTATTCATCGATCTTCCTAAAAAACTGAGACCGATCCGATATTTCAACTTTTTTTAAGTACGGACGTTCTTTTCATCATTGCAAAGAATATCCACTATCGAGAATTTGTTAGACTTCAACTACAAAAGCAGCATTTCATAAGAACGTTTAGCTATTTTTTCCAATATGGCGGATTGACTACAGAGGAGCCTTAACAAGTGCTTCTAAAGAACACTACATACACAACTTTACAGTACTAGACCATCTTCACGGATTCAAACATAGGTTTTGACTTTTCGGTTTTGTTTAATTGGCGTAGTCTCTTTCTTCATACGCAGTTCTTCCAATATGTTTTGACGTGGGTCTTCGACAGTTATACTCTGCACACAAGATGAAGTAGGTAATTGTTGTTTTCGACTTTGCTTCACTATTAAGGAATTCCGACCTCGTTTAAATTCATCAAGCTCATTATAAATAGTTTCCATTAGAGGTTTCTCTTTAGCAAAAAAGCCTTAAACCGCACTTAAGATCGTAGTAGATCAACGCACGAAAATTCTATCTAATCAATTCCTCGACGTTTACGAAATAAATAATTTTTTGTTTCTAGTTTGCTTGACTAGGATGATGCATTGCATTGTTGTAATGTTGCCAAAAATGGCAAATTTTAAACATTCGCAATACATAATTGTATGGAACAAAAGAAATGAAACAATTCCATTGCGCTGTTACTATTGATATAATTAATTTGCATCACAGCCAAAGGGACTGACAAAAAGCGAGTTGATTCACCTTACAGTTCTACAATGACTCACTATTTTTTGTTTTGACACAAAACCTCATCATGGAAAAATGAACTATTGGGAAGCTGTTTGGAAAAACAAAACGGATGTGCTATCCTTACGGATAAAGTAAAAACCATCTCCTTCAATATAATTATTATATTTAATTTTTTTTAATTAAATTATATCACTGATGTATCTATTAGTCATCTCATTACAAACTATTTAAATGCCTGATGTGTTCGAATATAGTTTTGCAGCGTTTTACGTGAATTTTACGATGTCTGTCCGTCAGCACGATATCTCGAAAACGAATTCACGGACGGACGGACAGACGAACACCACCGACTCCCCTATAGCTAGAGCTTACATCGCTTTGCTCTGCCCCTTAATAAAGAGCACAGGGCCGAGTATGGTGCTCAAAGGTACTCTATTATCTATTTCCACGCGTGAGACAATTTACCGTTCAAAATGAACTGATAGTAGTGCAGTTTGGAAAGTAGAAGTTTATGTGGTACACAATCAACGCTTTGCTCAAATCCAAAAATAAAGCTGTCGCCGATTCGCCTTTCTCGCAGACGTTAAAAAGTGCGGTTACTATATTTTGGAATTGATTCCATATATATCTCTGCTATTTCCTTTTTGTGTGCGACTAAATATCAATCGTCGATACCAAGCTTTCATTGGCACTTATGAACTGCAATTCTTGACTTGTTGTCGGT